CTATCTTTGTTGCGTGGTGCATTTAGATGCACCGGTTTCGTGTTGTCGGTGCGCTCTGCACCGACTTTGAGTACCGTGTGCCGACCAGCGCAATCAAATGTTTCGCGCATATTATTGTATAACGGCCGATTTATATTAATGTTAATTGCGTTGCGTAAGCCGCAGGGCGGCGTATCGTTTTGTATGTCTGTAGTATTTTGTTTTAGTGGCAAGAGGGAGACACCTTAGGCATTGGCGTTAACCAGAAACGACGATGGGAAGACAGCTAGGCAGGAGCGTACGACGTGGAGAGCAGAGTGGCGGAAAGCGACCGGTTGTCTCAGAAAAGGGCGGTCGGAGAAGGTGCCACCCGGACACTAAAGACGTTGTCGGGATCCGACGAGCGCGTACGACCTGCCGACCCGATGTAGAGGATCAGCCTTAGAAAGTTGCGGAATCGTCTACATGAATCGGGCGGTGAGGACCCGGCGCAGCTCTACAGTCGCCCTTGGAAGGACAACGCAGATCCACGCGTGTGACGATCGATCACCGCGCTACGCGCACGCCACCTGATTGGCTGCTTAACATACTGCGCGATCTGCTGTACGAAAGGAAATCTATGCGGTAGCGTTTAGCGATCATTGTTGCGCGTACCGGTGCTGAGGTGTGAGCCAGCGGGGAAACCTCCTGAAAAGTCTCTGTCGCGGTAAAGTGCCGTTTGGAGGCAAGGATCGGTCACCAGTTACTTGAGGAGGACCCGAGACCGTGATCTCCGGTAGAGGAGACGATATAATTGCCAAGTAAGATCCAAGGCTAGCTGTCGACGCCGATAAGTGCCGTTAAGTTCCTCACCCCCGCAACTGCGTGTCGCGTGTTGCTTTTGATGTACCGATCTACCGCTCCGGTGACTCGAATTCCGTTCGTTTAGTGCCGCGGATTCGACACGGAGGTAATCGTGACGAGCGTTACCGTGACATGTCAGGTCTGCGATGAGAAACGTGTATTTTGTCGTGTTGATAACATAGAGTAAAGATCGCTCTCTTTCTCTTTTCTACGGTCGCCGCAGTCTTTCGTGTAATTGTTCTTGTTGTTGTTCCGTTCTTGTCGTGAAATGTAATATTTGATTAATCGTGCCGTGTTCGTTCAACTTTGTTGTAATTGAGTGCGTGCGTACATTGCCGTGGACAGCCTTGAGTCAAGCTGCCGTTTTTTTGCGCATTCCGTGTCTATTATCATTACATCTGCGAGCGCGTCAGCGGTTGTGTAAGCTTTCGTACCGTTGTGTGCCGCGGCTTGCCGCCTAGAGATAATACTTTTTGCTAAGACCCTGTTCTATTGTTACGATCATCGAAGGTCGTTATTTACCTAGGATGCGGGAAGCGTAGTCAACCAACGTCGCACCCGGCACGCGGACGATTTGTCGCTATTTTAATATCTTATTCGAATCGCCGTTAATCAGCGTCGTGTGCTGCCGCGTATTGTCGATCGGCTCTGGCTACTCCGACTCATTATTAGCGCCCGTGTAAACCGGCGAAGCACCGCCATACGTGTGTCCATTGTCTAAATATACTATACTTTGTTAATTTGTCACGTTATCGTTACTGAGCTGAGGTTCTTTCTCCCATACACTCAAAAGACGCCTCCCGAACCCCGCCTCTCCGTTTTACATTCTGAGCTGCTGAGTAATTATTATTTCGAGAGATGGCCGTCACGTCCGAGGTAATTGGTGATGTGGTGCCGTGTGTTTGTGCGGCGTGATTTTCACGCCTGGCGCCCAAGTTTTGTTCGAAAAAACTCTTTAGAGTGAGCCAAGGACGTGCCNAAGGTGTGTGCGACGCTCTCGTACACCACCCGAAACGGGAGTAACAAATACAAAAATATAGTCGCTCACAATACAAACAAGTAATTGCATATGTATTTGTATATTGCAATTGTTACGTCTTGGACTTCACGGCCCCTTTGTTTGCAACGTAGAAACGATATTCTGGTCCTAAAGACCGTGACTCGCCGTAACCTTAGATGTAAACTTCCTGGATGGAGAATGCAGAGTCGGCGATAAATTGTAATCAGTTTGCACGCGGGGCAAACTGATATTGTGTGTGCCATGATGAATAAACGGATCTGATTTCCAAATTCGCAATGATAAAAATTTTCGCACGATAGCCGACGCGGGTAACTCAAATCGGGCGGATGGAAATCAGAGATCCTTGTATCTCCAGAAAGGAAGTTGCAATCAAAACCAGGTTAGCGGTCATTAATGCGAATTTAAACACGACTGCGCAATATCGATAGCGAGCCTCAAACAAAAGATAGTTAGGTTGATTTGGCCGACACCGGTGATTGACGCGCTTCCTTGTGCGGATCTGCGAATCAAGATCCGTATTTCAATCTAACAAATCTAAGTAACAAGAAGGGATTCCAGATCCAAATTTAATTGGTAAACCCCAAGTGTTTGGGGGCCAAAAATCAAATATATAAGCTGGAATTCAGAGCCAAAAACAGTTTTTTCATCCGGTTTAACAGTCCGTTGTCTAGCACGTTGCTGTTTGTTTATCAGTGCATTAGTTTGTGCAACCGTTTTGTCGGCATCAAAGGGAAACCGAGTCAGGAGCTGAGCCAGCTTACCTACTCCACAGCCTGTTAGGGTGGAAAATCGATTGTTTGCCAAGAAATATCAGCAAGTAGTAAGTCACAAATAGTCATATTAGTGTGATAAGATAACCGGCGGTTCCATTCTCTACTTTAAATCTTAATTCTTTTGAGACGACTACCATTCGGGTAATTTGATTGCGTTAAGTTGGCATTTTTCACTTTCTATTTCTGTCAGACTAGCAGCCCACGACTTTGTGTGTCGCTCCGGGCCGCTGCTGACTTTCTTTGCTGTCAGACTAGCAGCTCACGACCTTGTGTGTCGCTCCGGGCCGCTGCTAACTTTCCATTTCTGTCAGACTAGCAGCTCACGATCTTGTGCGTCGTTCCGGGCCGCTGTTCACTTTATTTCTTTCGGACTAGCAGCTCATGACCCCGCGTGTCATTCTGGCCGCTGCCGATCTTCTCTTCAAGTTATCCTCTGTACTTCCAAACAACGTAGTCTAAACTGCGTTCCAAAAGCTAGTCGTAAAATTATTCAATATTAGTCAGTAAAATTTCAATTACTTTTTTAAGTAGAACCCCGGAGATATCTGAAATCCCGGAACACAATTAAAACGAGGCGCAACCGGCGCAACCGAGCACTTCAACGCAGAAACGCTGCCAGCCATAACCGTCAACAAATTAGCGAACCAAATCATAAACCTCAGACGTCGACAAATAGCGATTTTCAAAAATTACACCGAACAGATAGCCATTGTCAAAATTTACAGCAGACACACTCCATTCCACACCAGACTCAGTCGCACACCTCCCCCTTTGCCTCCACCTTTTTCACCTCTTCCACCTCCTCTTTTAGAATCTCCATCGTACTCTCCAGTAGCTCCTGAGATGAGATTCCTGATTCCCCCTCTACTCTTCCTCGTCACCACTCTCCCTCTCTTCCCCCGGAATCACCTGAATCTGTCACTCTATCAGACGATGAAGAAGACTCCTTACCTTAGCAATTGTCACACTTCATATTTCTTACCAATTCCTTTCCTGTCGCTGATCCTCCACCTTTGAAGAATGAGTTAATTCTTGACCGTCGAAGGAAATTTCCTACCTCTCTTCACCATGCAGTTAGCACCCTTCCCCCTGATCACAACATTCTAGTTAAATTTCCTGGTTTTCCCGAAATCTGCGAAGTCCTTATAAGTTATTCCTATCGGTTTTATTCCCGTCCCTCCGCCGAAATAAAAGAAATAATAGAAGTAATCTTGGACGACTGAGTCCGACACACACACACACACACACACACACACACACAAACACACAGTTAAGTGTACGCAGACACCTGACATCCGTAGAAATTACCGCATATCGATCACATGTAAACAGTGAGAAATAGAGACATTAAATAAAAATGNTATTAAAAGTGGCATTTAAATAAAATCGGCTTAAATTAATTAACNCTTGGATTAACCCTCACCTAATCGTTTCATTCCTGTCATCCTCCGATTGATCGCCAGGTTC